CAAAACTTTACTTTTAGTGTCTTGTTCTATACATACGAAGATTATAAAAATCTGAAGTCGGAAACATGTATACTTTATCGATCATACCGAAATTTTCACTATGTAAAATGGTTTAAAAAAATAAATATGTACAAATATAATATGAGACTAAATATCCAGGATTGCGGTAGATTCTTATTACAATACTAAAGTAGATTCTCTTTGCAAGACTACTGTAGATTTTCATTGCAAGACTACGGTGAATTCTCCTTAATAGGTTAGGGTAGTTTCTCATTACAAATTACAAGGCTACGGTAGATTCTCATAACTAGACTGCTGTAAATTATCAATAGTAGGCTACTGTAGATTCTCATTACTAGACTACCGTAGATTCTCATTAAAAGATTACGGTTGATTCTCATAGAAAGATTACTGTTGATTCTCATAACAAGACTACGTTTGTTTCTTATAACAAGACAACGGTTATTTCTCATAACAAGACTACGGTTATTTCTCATAACAAGACAATGGTTGTTTCTCATATAAAGACTACGGTTGTTTCTCATAACAAGACTACGGTAAATTCTCCTTACAAGGCTTTGGAATATTCTCATTGAATTGCTTAAGTTCATGAATGATCTGTAGGTCCCATCATCTTCTAAATCAGCGGTTCTCAACCTGCGGATCGCGATGCTGTTGGGGTCGAACGAACCTTTCCCAGGGACACCCAAGACCATCAGAAAACACATATACTCTACAGTTATAGAGGAGCAACGAAAAACATTTGTGCCTGGGAGGTCACCACAACATGAGGAGCTGTATTTAAGAGTCCCGGCAAAAGGGCGGTTGAGAACCACTGTTCTAAATATTCATACCCCGCCCCATTCCCTCCCCCCAAAGCTTAGCCCTATCAAAAGCAGGAAATACATGGGGGAAAAAAAGTGCAAAATTTTTCTTGTGCACATTTGTCCCGCTTCCAACCATCTCTCTCTAATCCGATGTATTGATTTCAATAGTTGTGGGAGATTTACCATCTGTCGCTGCTCTCTCAAGCCTCATCCTACTTCAGAGATCCTTTCTCTCGCAAGTGTGGATTCTTGGTCTGGGTCGTTTGGTGCTTGTTGCTATGACGTCATATTGAGGGGGTGGGGGAGGGAAGATGTTACGGGGCAGTGGTTCTTAACCTGGGTTCGATCGAACCCCAGGGGTTCGTTGAGTCAGTCTCAGGGGTTCGGCGAAAGTCCAAAAAAATAAGGAAAAAAAAAATTATATTTTATTTTTTTCAAATTTGGAAATGTTCGGTGAATGCGCATATGAAACTAGTGGGGTTCGGTACCTCCAAAAAGGTTAAGAACCACTGCCACACGGGATCTGTGAGATGGGGAAGACAGTATTAGAGGTAGACATTTATAACATTTTTTAATACTATTTAGGACACTACGAAATCGAACTACCTTCTGCTTCAGCCCGTGAATAGGAAAACAGTTAAATACATGTGTTGACAGCTACAAAAGAAGTGCATATCAAAATTTGAAATGGTAATGTTGTCGATATTTGAGATGACTAGTAGATGTGGATCACTTCACGTTGATGTTGGGAATAAAACACTGTTTGGTCACTGTTAAACTTTTTTCGTCAGTGCTAAACCTTCACACTCTATTTCGTCACTGATGAACCTTGCAACTCTATTTCGTCACTGATAAACCTTGCAACTCTATTTCGTCACTGATGAACCTTGCAACTCTATTTCGTCACTGATGAACCTTGCAACTCTATTTTGTCACTGATGAACCTTGCAACTCTATTTTGTCACTGATGAACCTTGCAACTCTATTTCGTCACTGATGAACCTTGCAACTCTATTTCGTCACTGATGAACCTTTCACACACACAATTTATCCACTGATGAAACTTTTCACACACACAATTTAGTCATTCATGAACCTTTTCACACAATCTATTACATCACTGATGAACCTTTGCACACACATAATTTAGCCACTGATAAACCTTTTCACACACACAATTTAGTCACTGATGAACCTTTTCACACACACACTTTAGTCACTGATGAACTTTTTCACACACACAATTTAACCATTGGTGAACCTTTTCACACACACAATTTAGTCACTGATGAATCTTTTCACACACACAATTTAGCAGCGGATGAACCTTTTCACACACACACTTTAGTCATTGATGAACCTTTTCACACACACAATTTAGTCACCGATGTACCTTTTCACACACATTATTAAGTCACTGTTGAATCTTTCCGCTTTGGAAACTAATCTCACAATTGAGTCATTGGTGGATGTTTCCATTTGTTGCTCTTTAGAATGGTCACTGTGTCACTGCAAAGTAAAAGATTTATTGAAAAAATGTATTTTTAAATATATACAAATTGACATTTCCATGTTTGATCACCACCCCTTTCCAACCCCCTCCCCACTCCCTTCCAACCCCCTCCCCACCCCCTTCCAACCCCCACCTCCTTCCAACCCCTTGCCCACCCATCACCCCCCCCATTCCAACTCCCTCACCACTCCCTTCCAACCCCCTCACCATCCCCTCCCTAGTCCCAATGTACTTTGTAATCCAGAGAAATATTCTTTCTTTAAGTTATCAAATTTAATATTTGAAACATTTTTTTTTTTTTAAGGGAAAGTTCATATTTAATTGCATCTGTCCTGTTCCGATTATGTCACGTTAATGTAGCTTTGAAAAACCTCATTAGTTACGTCATTGACCATAATAGCGTCANTTTTTTTTTCTTTTTCTTTTTAAATTTTTAAGTTTAATTTTTTTTTTTTTTTTTTTGTGGAGCAATCTCTCTTTTTTTTTTTTTTTTGTTTAAATCTTTTTGAGTTTAATTTTGGAAAAGCATTTTGACCCAATTTTTTTTTTTTTTTTTGGTAACAATGTTAAGCTATAAAAATGGCTTCTTATAAGTAAATGTCCCGGTATTTTACAGTTTTGAATTTAGTCAACAAGATTTGATCACTTACCAACATTGATATGTAAGCAGTTATTGAAAACCATTAGAAGTGGGCTTTTCTTACGGTTCAAAACTAGAATTTATTTATCCCCTTTCGCCGAAATGGCAGCTGTTTTTAAAATACGTATGTTGTAGTTTTTCATTAGCCCCCGAATAAAATGCATGTTAGATGTTTGTCTTCCTTACACACGAAATAATGTCAGTTTTCTAAGTATAAGATACACGGGGTGAGAACGAAATTGCTTGGTGCAACTATTTATGTAATAAGCATCATTTAATAAAAAGATGATTGATGGACACAGGTGGACTATGGAGAACAGCGTAAGTTGGTCAATATCAAATTATGCAACTTGGTAAAAGTGAACCGGGGTAAACACACTTTGTATAAATATACACTGGGCAAATGTCAGGGTGTTCAGAAATTTTTTTTTTTCATTTAATTGTTTACTTTCTCCAAGAAATAAAAATAAGATTGTATTCATGTATAATGTAAAAATTGATAATTATCGGACAAATATTACATGGATTGCATTATTAAGCTATATAAAAAGTAATAGGCATATTATGAATTTGGGTTTTATTTTGCGTCTACTTAATGGCGAAGGGACAACAACACCAACAAACAACAAAACAAAAAAATCAGACAAATCTACTACTTTATAGTCTGATGTAAACACAACATCAAGTGAGGTGTTCAGCATGAACCTAGATGTTTATTTAACATGTTCAGTGAGCTGTGGCTGTGTCTTCCCTCTCTCTACGTGCGGCTGTCACAACTAGTGGGTTTTGTTGTTCTTCTGTTCACAACAAAAATAAATCAAGAGGCTCGTTTTAGATGCCATGAAGATTCTGTGTTGAGCTTACATTTAAGTTTGAATGGGAATAGATTAAAATTAAAGTTAATTAATAAAGTTGCCCCCTAATATGTCATAAGATAAGATTCTTTTATTGATCCAAACAAATGGAAATGTGTTTTTTTATTTCATTATACATTTTCAGCACACAAATAAAACAATTTGAAAACAAGACATTTAAAATAAATTACTTCAAACAGCCGTTCAGTGAGTTCTCTTAGCCAAATCGGGGACTTGTTAGCCCTAATTAAGATGTGTGATTTCAGAGGGAGCACGCCGGTAAATTCGTACAGTTTACTACGTCTATACGCTGGATATAAGCATTTACAATAAAATCAATTGCAACAACCCACGGAGTCAATGACTCTGTTCAATAACAAAACAAAATCAATAGTCCCAAGCAATGGAGGACAGAAAGAGATCGGGTACCTAAAAACTTTAAATAGTGTTTCTGTTATCATACAAATCAAGAAGAAGTTGTGCGGTTGTTAAATTGCCCAGTATCCATTCCGCTCATGTTGTAGCAAACGTTCAATTGTTTGTTGTTTTTTTTGTTCAGAAGCTATTGAGAGAATGAATCGATTGAAAGCTTGATGTAGTGTAGAATACTGCACACGGCCCTCTTCTCCCAAGTAGCACGTGACCTGCCCTTTTGTTTACATCATGAATCTACTACTGCGCAGCATCTTGACCTACCAATTCTCTTATTCCTGGGGCAATCGTTATCATAGAATTTCGAATACGATATTACAATTTTTAAATACCCTAACCCCCCCCCCCCCATTTTTTAATAGGTGTTTTGTTTTTTAAATCAATTAAACATACCACACAGAAAAATAATTATTATATTTTTTCATTTAAAAAAGAACAACTGCAATAACTTTTTAAGTGCATAAATCAGCGTTCCTTTTTTTTTTCTTCAATAGTTAGCTACTATTTATGGCGACAGGACAATTTAAATAAATGTTATGCCAATGCATTAGTGTGCATATAACATAGGTCATTCCATTATAAACAAGGCTAATTGGTTGCATTAATGAAATTCAACTATTTTATGGTGTTTTTTTTTTTTCTGGCTAAACACGTGTATTAGTAAAAGTTACTCGAACCAGTTCAGGGGGGGGGGGGGGGGCGTGGAAAAAATTTTGAAGAGTGACAATGAGGCGGGTACACATTTCGACGGACCAGAAATATGGGTTTTAAAACGGACAAATTGTCACATAAAACATCAAGTAGAACTGGTGGTGTATATATTTCCACATATCCAGTATAAAAAGGGGAAGCCGTCTAGTTAAACCCTTAAAAGTTGGCAATTTTTTCGAGATAACAAACAACAAGTCTAGGAACCCTGGTCTCCACATCCACCGCTAGATATGCCTACTTAAAGATCTCACATGGGCTATTCAAAAGGCTAACTAGCAAAACCGATGGATTCCTGTACATTTTTTCAGCACCATACATGTTGACCCACCATGTCATGTTCCCCCAATTGGGAACTAGGCTTCACTGACACTGACAGCCAGCTAGCTTGTAAAATTAGCCAAAGGGGATTACAGTAGATAAATGTGTATATGTAAATACATCCACGGTGAATGCTCAACTTAGAAATGCTCTTTCATATCTTTCATCATGTGTGTAAGATTTACTAGGCACATAAGGAATTGAGGAGGCTATTACAAACCTGACCAAATCTAGTTTTTATATGTAACAAATGTTGATAACAGAGTACATTTAAAAAGTTTCCCCAAATTAAATATTTTACAGTCTAAAATTCCAATCTAAAAATAAGGCCATGAGAAACTATTTAATGAAAACATCAAAGATTTTATTTTAAAAAAAAAGCAAAAAATATTTGAATATGTTTGAAAAACATTTTATTTTGTTATAATCAGTGATCCCTTCGAAATGTTGAATCACCTTTCTTTTTCTTTCTTTTTTTTTTTTATAATGCCTGAAATAAATCAATAATATACAATAATTTACGTCACATAAATAATATCAATACATAGCCAATAATAAAAATCCACAAGTGAACTTGCACAAAAAGATGCAGGATGACTAAAATGATAGTTTTATTAAATGCAAATAATTAAGAACATAATTTATATGCAAAATTGTATTGCTATTTGCATTGCCTTGCATTTTTTTTGTGTAGTGTTATGTTACACAATATTTTTATTTTAACCATTTGAATTAATTATAGGACAAAGAATACAAATCTTTTTAACCTTTTTCTTTAGAGAAATGTATATTATTAAAAGTGTAAGTAGACTATATAACAGTTTTGATTTTAAGAAATATATTATATTTTTTTTAAAAATTGGTATTTTATTGATGAATGAAAGAAATCGGACAAGTTTTATAATGCCATCCACTATGCTTTCATACACCACTTGCTAACATCTATCATTCCATGTACAAAGTTCCGTCTTCTCTTGCAGCTCATCATCCAACTTGTCTCAGTCTCACGAGGTTTCATCTCCCACAACTTGACCAAGACATTCAGCATTTACAGTTTCCAGTTCCTTTGCTACCTGCATCACATTTGCAATCTTCGGCTGAAATCAAAGGGTTACAATTATTTAACTTGCAATCTTCAGCTGAAATCAAATGGTTAAAATTATTTAACAATTGTCATGATGCACAGTGTTAATGTACATATTATGATAATTTCAGAGTATAACCTTACAGAAACTTAAATATAGTTTGTCAGTCAAAATCAACTATGACCACCTTTATCATTGTATATGATAATTGTGAACTTGGCTGTGGGTGCGCAGATGGCTGACTGAGCAGATTATTGCAAGAATTAATTGTGTGCAGTAAGTGCATGGGATTAATGGGACATAAAAATATGCATAGACAAAGTAGGATTATTTTGAAATTGACAGGTTTGAGAAGATGACATGAACAGACACTTGTTATTAGATTTTGAAAAGAAAAATCAAATATTTTAAGAAAACAAGAACACTACACAAATCAATGGCATATCATTCCAAATCAGCAACTTATTTTAGTCAAATAATCTAACAAAATGGCTAAATAATTATTTTTTAAGTGATGTGATGTCATATTTAGAGTGATGATCCATATACAATGTTGATGAGACAGAGATCTGGTACCTATATCAAATTTAACCCCCAAAAAATTCCATTCTACATTATCATATATTTAAAGCTATAAATAGCTAATTTACAACCAAAAAAAAAAAAAAAATAAAAAAAAAAAAAAAAAAAAATAAAAATTAAAAAAAAAAAAAAATAAAAATATATGTAGAGGTCTTCTTGACCTTTGGTGCCCATTATTATATATACCGTTATAGTTGTGTTTTCAAGGGAATTAATACCAATAAATACCCTGCATTTCTTTTGTAAATTATTCCCCTTTAAAGAGCAAGAGCCTAACCCACTTCTGTGTTGTGGATATGGACACTGGAAATGCGCAATAACACATGACAGTTCCTGGCTATTAGAATCGGTAAAATTTGGGAAATCCTATCTCATAATGTTGTTAGTATTTGTTAGATAAAACGTAAATCACCTGAACACTTGCATGTCTTGCAGCTTGGGCAGTTGCAGCCCTCACCACACTTACAGCTGTCACCACAAGTGCATTGTTCGCCAGTGCAGGCCTCGGTACAGTTGGGTCCTAGAAACAAAACATGCAAAAATCGGTCAGTAGGAAGCCAGAAGATTTTGTGCCAATAATATCATTTTAAAAACCTGGAAGTAAATGTAGGAAAATTTTTTTTTAAAGAAAATTTTAAGATACTTTTAATCCGCCAGAATATTTTAATGCTTCCATCTGAACCACTTTTTCATAGAGTAAAAAAATATAAGAAACCACTGAGCCAGTGGTTTTGGTTTATCTTAGGTTAAGCGATGTGTATATATTTACAGGCAATTTATAGTCAACCTCAATTTATCTAATTCAAAAAAAAAAAGAATGCTAATCACATAAGGATTTTTTTTGGTACTATTTGCAATTAAAAAAGAAGTAGCACAAAGTACAATGATACACTTGTAAATAAATGGAAAACGTAATGAAATGGATAAGCAGGCAAGTGCTCAGACACTGAAAATAGTGGTCCCATGTGGTGTTTGGTGTTATTGTCTTCTTAAAATAGAGACCTTACTTCAAAATACAGGCTAAAATATAGGCCTTACTTCAAAATACAGGCTAAAATATAGGCCTTACTTCAAAATACAGGCTAAAATATAGGCCTTACTTCAAAATACAGTCTAAAATATAGACCTTACTTCAAAATACAGGCTAAAATATAGGCCTTACTTCAAAATAGAGGCTAAAATATAGGCCTTACTTCAAAATACAGGCTAAAATATAGACCTTACTTCAAAATAGAGGCTAAAAGATAGGCCTTACTTCAAAATAGAGGCTAAAATATAGGCTTTTCTTCAAAATACAGGCTAAAATATAGGCCTTACTTCAAAATAGAGGCTAAAATATAGGCTTTACTTCAAAATACAGGCTTAAATATAGACCTTACTTCAAAATACAGGCTTAATGGTTAGCCTAATTAACTTTAAAATTGAGAACACAAATAATTTCTGATAAAGAGACATATTTATCTTTGGTCGAAATCTATTGAACACATCAACTATTTTATAGTGATAATATAGATAATGAAGTAGGCTCCCCTGTTAAAGTGCACACTGCATAAGCTATAGCCTTATAAGACTGTAGCCTTAGTAAATAACAGCAATGAGTAAGACCGGGGGGGGGGGGGGGGCGGGGAATTATCCATATATATTATTAAAAAATACATTAAGATGGAGGAAAATTTCCTTTGCCCATTTTAGTACATTGTCGTTTACATTGATGACCACTCTATGTAACATGCAGTCAGAAAGAACAACTAGATCTAGTCAGATGAGAACCAGACGGTACAAGTACAAAGGGGCAGATCCATTATAAATAGCTTGATTAGGTTACTCTGATCCGGTGGATATTTTATAACACTAAATGGGCCAGTGATGACAACAAATAAATTGTGGACCAAGATATGTTTAGCAGGGTTATCATTTCAGGTTTTTTTTCAGGTGGGGGTGGGGGGTGGCGGCAAAAGTAATCAAAACTTGATCGGCTTATTTAGTTGTTACTGGAGGCGCCACAGTACATATCAATTTTACCAATTTAAATAAAATACCTTCAAAATCAAAAGGGAGCGGAAAAGGGGTTGGGGGGGGGGGATGACCTACACTACCCTACGCAATTGACGTCCATGATTTTTAGGCTTGAAAAAAAGGGGCACAGAAAATAAAAGTACGTTTATATCTAAAACATAAAAAAATCCTTCATCAGTAGACTGTGTTCCCAGTTCCCACAACACAATATGAATGACAATGACAATGCAGCGCTTTCACCACTGACTACTCTGTGTATACACTACAAGCATCAGAGAAAAACTAAGATGTAAACAAGTTAACATATTAAGCTGAATCATGGTAACATAACTAAATGGATGTACAGTTAGCTACTTACCCTTTCCGCTCATGTTGTAGAAGGTGGTGATGAAATCGAATCGTTAAGTAACAAAGTGAAGCTTTAGGCGCTGTGTTTGGAGTGAACGAGAGCCTTGGGGAGGTTTATGTAGGGTGGTTTTGCACACGGCTCACTGGTGTCACAAGGGTTTACGGTGACCTGGCGGTTGGTCTGCACACGAAACTATTACGCGTCAGTTTGACCTTCGATTTATTTCAGTCTTAGAAACGTTGTGGAGACGGAGGGTGGGGGGTGTGTAATGGGGGGGGGGGGGGTGGTGGG